AACTCATCCTCATTCCTGGGGGTGAAAATAATGCACGTAATTTACCGCGGCAGCTGAGAAATTATCTTTGTACACAAAAGCTGAAATTATATAAACTTGGAAAGCAACACGTTATGAAACACTATAAATTTATGTTCAAGCTTCCAAACAACGTTTCCTTTCCACTCTTCTCCTCTTTCCACTAAACTGAGACATCAAGTCTGGGATTGGAGCATTACAACTATGATCTGTGCCAAAGTGACCAAATTACAAATGATGGCTTTTGGCTACAGGATGTTTCAACAGATTGGTGTCTGCTGAACCATCACCACCCCTCCCCTCCTGACGCATACCTCACCGCCCCTCGTGCCCCCACCCCCACCCCACCCTCACCTAGTGCTCAGGGAAAAGCCATTTCATTATTCTTGAGAAATATCTGTCAAAAAGGTAGAGAGAGGGGAATGATTTTATATAGCTTACAGAGGAGGGAACGAGAATAGAGATTATTTATAATTCAAAGTGAGATTGTGCCATTTCAAGAGAAGAATATTGGCAAGTCACGCTGACTTTCTGAAAGTTGCTGGGCAGGTTTAAAAAGCCACTGGAAAGTTTATCAGAGCAGCTACTTCCTTGACAGGCACCAGGAGAAAGAATCTCAGACAATGAGGGCAGATTTCTGGCTTGCTGTCAAGATGCTGACCTATCTTTCCCAGGAACAAATGTAACTGAGAGGTCGTGCAAATATGGGCATATTGGCAGTGGAAACTCTTGTTTTACAGTGCAAGAAGACTATATAAGCCAACGTGAGATGAACTACTAGATGTCTGCATGTGTCATTAGAGAAAGTTGTGAAATTCTATAAATATTGAAAAAACAGGAATGGTGTAGAGATTACCCTTTGCAAATACTTCCAGGAATGGACATACTAATGTCTTAAGACCTTCAACAACATTGTGGGAATCAGTGACGTTCAAAAATTCCTTTGCAAAGCTTCCATATTAGTTCATAAACTAGGAGATTAATACATGGTTCTAGAGAATACCTAAAGTACTTTCATAACCACAATTTCATTTTACTGTCATAACAACCCTGTAAAGAATTGTTATCCCCCATTTTATAGAGAAGGAACTGGTATGGGAAAGGTAAAAACTTGGTCTGAGGTTATCACAGAGCAAAAAACAGGAGACAGTAGTCAGTGTCGGTGCCAATAAGAGCAGACGTTTTGAACCCTGCTTCTCCATTTGGTGATTGCTACTTTTGTCTTGGCAGAGTGGTCTGGGGTCATGATTGGCACAGGCCTGAGTATCCAATGCAAATCTGTCGGTTAGTATTTATTTATAGCTAATATATAAAATAATGGTAGAGTCAAAGTGGAACAGATCCAAATCCATGTATTTCATGTTGGAATTAAACGTAAAACATCTTTTTATTCAAAGATTTGGCTTCCTATTGGAAGACCCTGAAGAAAACTGGATAATTTTACAATGAAGGAAATATTTTGGATTTGCACAAATGTAGCTATATTTTTGGATGGGAAAAGCCATTATTGGCTATTCCCATAATGGCTATTCTCAATCATAAGCATCAAATCAAAGATCCCAATAATTGTTGCTACCAGCATCAGTGTGTGAAATTATGGTTTATATAAAGGGGAGATGAACATGCTGAAGCTCTTGTACATCCTCTCAAGTCTTCATCATTATCAATGTCTTCCCAGTTAAAAGTGTGCAAACCCTAGAAGTCACTTCATCTTTCTAGGTCTCAGTTTCTCATGTGCCAGATCAAGGAACTGAATTAGGTGATTGGGAAGGTTCCTTCTGATTCTTAGACTATATGTTATTATAGAACAGGATGCCTGCCCAGTTTAATACTATATGTGCCTTTTTCCTTTAAACTGATGCCAGTGGTAGGAACCTCAAATGCTAGTCTAGGAGATGAAACTAGAAACTAGTATCTGAGTTCAGCAGAATCTTGACAGTTATTTCTGCACCAGGAATGAGGTACGCGGAGAGAGATGAAGACCAGATCCATTTAAGAGATGTTCACATGTATGTGTCAGTGCTGGCTAAGCCCCTACATCCAAGATTCAGAATGCTGGCTGTTTTAATCTCCAACATATACTACATATCAGTCATTACGAAAGGCCTACTTGGCAAGTGTCCGCCCGGTCATGCTGTATGGGAACCATTCTGTGCTTCAGCTGATGAAGTTGGCCTCCCATGCTGAAACTCCTCAGCTGCTTACAGCCTCTACAATTCACTTTCATTTTCACTTTAAGAGAAAAGAAAACAAACATCTGACTCTCGGAAGAGACCAAGGGATCCAACTTGATGCTGGAAATCTGACCACAGGCATGGAAGGAAGGCTGATAGGAGGCAGGCTTAGCGTTTTCTGGCATTGATTCAGCTTGTTATTTTCTTTAAAACTTAGAATCTCAGCCCTAAGGTAGGCCACAAAGCTCACTAAACCTCCAAGGAGCCTTGAGACAATCAAGCCCAGTGGACCGACGTTCTTGGCCCCACTTAAAGAAAAAAGTGGAGACTGCACATGTGCAGATTAGATGGGGTACAGCAACCTCACTGGTCAGAAAGATTAAAGAGTTCAAATGAAGGGAGTTTTCCTCCTCAGACAGTAAAGCAAAATAAACATATCAAGGACTAACCGCCTTTGTGAAAATCCTTTGTTCAATAGGCAAGCAATTATGAGATAAGAAATGAGAATAAACAACCAAATGCTTTGATGTTTTAAAAATACTCATTCACCCAAACAGAAATAATTAGTTTTATGAGTAAACAACAAGTTACCAAGCATCCAAAGAGGGAAACAAAAGAAATAATAGCAATCTGAGAAGAGTAGAGAACAAAACTAAGTTTAATATGATAATGAATCAGAATGCACTTAGCAGAGTTCCTGGTTAGTCAGAGGAGGATGCTAAGGGTGGCAAATTGAGGTGAGTGCATGGAATATGGAGATCCTTCCTTTGTGATTTGTATAGAAACAAGTCTTCTGTTTCTGTAGATGGCATTTAAAAAGCCAGCCAGTCTTTAAAGCACACTTATTTGATCTCATACCAATCTAACTGTATGGGAATACATCTCATAGCATTTCAGTTGACTTTTTGCTTGGAACTATTTTTTTTTTAATTTGATCTTTATTGCATTTTTTCCCATTAACATTTAGTCCCCTTATAGTTCCTTCCCCCGGCAATCCCCACACTGTTGTCCATGTCCATGAGTTCTTTTTCCTTTTTGTTCAATCCCTCCACCCACTATCCTCACACCACACCCCCACTAGCTCTCCTCTGCTCTCCATCTATGAGTCTGTCTCCATTTCATTATTAGTTCAGTTGGTTCATTAGAGTCCACATATGAGTGAAATCCTATGGTATTTGTCCTCTGACTGGCTTATTCACCTAGCATAATGTTCACAGGTCCATCCATACTGTAGAACTAATTGTTTTAGTAGAAAAATTCAAACTGTCCCATGCAACATGTCTTTTAAGAAAGTTTGTTGTGAAATTTAATTATTGTTAGGGTCACATTTTTCTCATGAAAACACAATCCAATGGATTTGAGGGGTGAAAAACTTTCATTATGGTTTTCATTCATACTTCGAGTCAGTGGGAAAGTCTGATTTCATTCACAGAAAACTGCATTTGGACTTTTGCTATTTTTCCCCTGTAAGGCACAGCAGATTTCATAATTACAGTGCTACCCTGAGATATGAACCAGTGGATGAATCCACCTATATAATCTAAGAATGAAGAGCTGATGATAATATCGTTCTCTATCACACACTTTTCAAAAAAGTTCCCCACACCTGGTAGACTCAAATTTCATAACATCCTGGTAGGTCAGCCAGACTCAGATATTGTTAATCCTCTTTTTATAGAAAAGGGGAAATATGATCTAAAGAAGGAAGACAACGTATCCAAGCTTACACAGCAAATTAATATCAGGGCCGAGTACTTTACTTTTTCCTCCACACCATCTATGCTATTATCAAAGCACTTATGCAGAGAGATAACAGTGGTGACAGTTGCAGCTACAGTGGCAAAATGAAAGCAGCCATCATTTGTTGAGGGACGGCAGTGTGCCAGGCACAATGCTGAACATGATATATATATTTATATATATATATTTATATTTATATCATATATATACTTTTAAAATAATCACTTAGAATAATGATATAAATAGGTATCATTTCATGTCATGGTTAGGCAACCAAGGCACCGAGTGGAAGAACTATACCTTAGGTCACACAGCCTGTGCAAGGCGCAGTTGTGATTCAACTTCACATTTATCTGACTGCTTGAGAATAAACTTTTTCTCTCACAGGATTACTGGGAGAGTCACATTTCAAGTCCTCAAACCTTTGCTCAGAAATCACCTTGCTTAATGAGGACTATCCTGAACACTCTATTTAAAACTGTAGCCCCACTGCCACCGGGCCAAAGTTCATCCTCCCTAAGTCATGATTTCCTGATACAATTTTTGTTCCTAACATTGATTGTTAATGTAAGCTCCAGAGGAAAAGAATCTTAGTTTTTTGTTTTTTTGTTTTTACCAACATATCCCAGATGCTTAGACTGTGCTATCCAATATAACTTTTTGTAATGACAGTAATGTTTTATATGAGTACTATATGGTAGCCACTAGCCATGGAGCAAACCTGAAAAGTGGCTAATGCCACTGAAAGGCTGAATTGTTTATTTTATCTAATTTTATTAATTAAAAATTTAAATAGCCATATTTTTATCAACAGAATCGATGGCTAAAATATAGGTCTAAATTAAATTGGAAAAATTGTTTGAAACTTCAGGTGCTATGACCAAAATAGCAACCATGCATTCTCAAACTATTGGCTCCTTTTTGTCAGATGTGACTCAAAGCTTCCAAAATATTTTTTTGGAGACAGGGAAAGTAAACTAGCAGCACGTAATGAATTCCCGTGTGACAAATACATATATGTATATGTACATATATGTTATTACAATGATTCCTATAATAACTCAGTACCTTTTTGACCTTGTTTTTTTTCTCATAGGTCTCTGAAAGAGGTTTTTTCTTCTGCTGAGTTGTGTCTTTGGAGAATAAATACTCAAATTCACTAGTATCCCGAATATCAGGTTCTTCTAAAGAATCCCACAAGGTTGGTGTAGTGCTTTGGCTTAAAAGAGAAAATGAGAAGTTAAACTTAACAACCCAAACATAAGAGAACAGAACACAATAAAATTTCTAATTCATTTTTAACTCATTAAAAAATAATAAGTTTACAGCCTGATTAAAAAAAAAACTCAACCAACTGAAAGGACCTGTTCATAAAAATCTTAATTAAAAACAAACAAACAAACAAACACACGCATATGCATGCACACATCCTTAGTACAGTGTGGAAAAGCTTTTAGTACTACACAATTTTTTAAGTCAAAATATGATATGCAGCATTAAAGCAAATACACATGTCTAAAACAGAATGGTTATTAGATAAAATCAGAGAGAGAGAGAGAGAGACTAAATTTATGGGGGCAGAAATCCTGGGATTCATACTGTTGCAGCCCTGTGAGCTGCTTCTCCCTCAGTCCCTGGCATTCCCATGATGGATAAACATGGGCATCACGTAAAGGCTGAAGGGATAACTGATCTTGAGACAATGATGGGATTTAATTCTTAAATACAGGGTCTGGCAGAAGTAATATCTGTTTGAGTGTGTTTGGTAGGGTAATAATATGGGTGTGATAATTTATAGTTTTAATTTGAATGTTTCACCTAAGTGTCATGTGGTGTGCTTGAGTGTGAAATTATGTTACAGGATTATATGATTATGATTTTGTAATAAAAGTGTTTGTAATAAAAAAGGGGCATTAAACTCGATAGCCTGAAAATGAAGTTTACCTCTCTTTGGATTTCTTCTACTGGTCTTAAATACAGTTTACTGGTCAACTCAGTTCAGAACCCATAAGACATGAGTGAGTTGTGCTCTTTTAGAAAAACTTGAGTTATAATACCCCACCCCAACAATAGTACTAAAAATAAAGATAAACCAAAAACTCCATTGCACCAGCCCTCACTAGGATTTCAACTATAGCAGTCAAGGGGAAATGGTTTCCCTTTGTCTTCAAAAAACAAGGCCACCCTAGTTTTGAAACAAAGGCAGGGAAGAAGACAGGGAAAACCCACTACTGGAGAGCTGCCTCGGAGAGTCGATTCAGGTGAGTTGTTACTCAGGCTGCCTTTAGTCAGGACACTTCCTCCCAAATGTCCACTTCCTTAACTTAGCTCCTTGTCTAATTTTTAAACACTTTTAATGCAAACAGAGAAGAATAATGTCTTGTCTATACATTTGTTGCCTTTCAAGCATATGATATGTTATAATCCATAATATCTATAAGCTCTTACCTGAAAATATGTACCTGAATAATATGTATTGTTTCCATACCTATTTCTCAGCCAATGAACACTTTTGCTCTAGTATTCTATAAAGTTGTCCACAAAGGTTTTTGACACTAGAAGGTGATTTTCAAATTCAAAACAGTTGGGAACACTGGCTTTTCAGATGTGCATGTTCACATTTTGCTATGTGTCCGCCTCTTCCATGAAATATGACATTTAGGTTCTGCCTCATTCCTTTCTCTCCACTTTTTGTTAAATTATCATTTTTCTAATATAATATTTGAGCCATATAGGAATATTTATGTAACATATGTGAATTATAACATATCACAGTATAATAAATACCTGTAAAATCATCACCCATGGGCTAGACCCTTTTCAGTGAAGTCCATCCATCTATGTGCTCCTTCCTCTGCCATCCACCTGTGCCACTCACCTTCAGTTTGAAACACGAGCACCAGTCGTATTAAGTGCTTATCTCGCCTGCACTCAGGAAGGGGATCTTGATGGGAGACGAGAACCAGGGAATTTTGGAGCAGCAGCTGTTTAAGTGCTACTGGTTTGAACTTCACAAAGGTTCTGGGAAGCCGAGGAGGTGATATGGTGCACAAGGCAGACTGTTCACATTCATCAGCATCATCTCCTGTACCTGCATGTCTAGGCCCAGCTCTAAGAACTCTGAGCTCAGGCCAGTATGACTAGTGTAGTAACTCATATTCTGGGGCAAATTAGGTCTGGCAGTCAGGGTGAGCACTTTATCACCATTTACAACACTGTTTCTATGGGAAAATACACTCCCAATAATAAATAAAGGACTGAAATACCACCTCTCAGTGAGTTGGGGGTACCTGGCATTTTGTAAGTCAGTAACAAGAACTGACTTACAATGAACCATCTGTACTCATGGTCAACTCTCTTCTGACCACTGACAATATAATTTTAGCTCCAAAGAAGGCAGGAGGAAAAGGCAGTGGGGAAGGGGGCAGATGGAGGAGGGGGAGGAAAGGAAGCAGAAAAAGAAGATGAAGATAGATAGATATTTATTAGGAAGATGAAAAAGTAGAGAGATGATGATTTATTCTTCTTTAACTAAATGTTTCTCATATTCTAGAAACCAGAAAAGAGACCAAAAGAGGCAAAATGGCAGAAGTTAAAAATCAGTTCATGTTAGTGGTGAAAAGCAATTTAGGTGGAAGAGAGGCAGTGTGAATATAGTGGAAAAAATTCACATTTTACTCCCAGTTACCCAGGAGACCAAGACCAAAATTTTTCATGTGTACAATATACAAAGTGCTTATCACATCCGGCTGTACAAAATATTAAAATACATTTCATCTACTTTAAAAGAGCACATCCCAAATAACTTTACTTTTGTCCATAAACACATACTACACAGAATCTTCAGACCATTTTCGTTTAAAGCAAGTAGTCACGCCCTTAGGACAAAAACATCAGGAGGGACGCTCAGTAGGAGATGGGATGTGCGGCGCAGCAGGCAGGGCTCACACTGCAGTCTTCACACGCTGCAGTGGGGGCCTCCCCATGCCCCAAAGTCAGGCTCGAGGCTGACACGTTCACCAAGCAGGGCTCTCCTGATGTCCCAGGTCAGGAAAGTTCATACATTCATCTACTCATTATGCTCAAAACTGAAGCCCTAAATTTATGGTAAAACTAATATGAGCTTGAGCTTTCAATGGTTTTCTTTCTCAAAATGGCCAATCACATGAGGAAAGAAAAATACAGACTCCAGCTTGACTTTGTCCCCCTTTGAACATTGGGCAAAGGGCCCATATCTCCCAGGGGCTGTAATACTCTTGGTATATAGTCTGTGATACTGCTTGCTCATAAAGCCTTGTGCGGAACGAGGTGGAGGCCGGTCAGGGAGACAGGTATCAACAGCAATGCGTGCTATCTGAACAGGTGGGATCCATCACCCTGGGAGGGCTGTGCCTTAATTTCAGGACACTAATGAGGGAAATGTCATCTGAGTCTTGAATGGGAAAAGGGGAATGCTAGTGTTTTAGGTAATCGTAGAGGCTATTTCAGGGTCTTCTCATATTTTTCTAACCATTCTTTGGAAAATTATAAAGCATCAACATTTTACAAATTATCAGTATTTTCCTCATATCAAGAGGATTTTCCTCTTGATCTCCCCTCCCTTTGTGTGTGTGTGAGAGAGAGAGGGAGAGAGAGAGAGGAAGGGGACCAATATGAAGCACATCAACTTAGTTCACAATATACTTAGTTTCAATCCTCCTACACTGATTTCCAATTACTTTATAATTGTGAATTGCATATTATCTTGTTCAATACCCTGACTTCTCCAAGTAAAATGTTATATAAACTGAAAAACTCATCACTGTATTTGGATTTGTGCATAAGTTCAAAAACTTAACTCTAAAAATGTATTCTGTATCCTCTATTCTTCCCAAAGAAATGAACTTCAAACCTAGAGAATAGTCAGGGAGCAACAGCATCTTCTGTTATCCCTTTGTCAGGCTCTGAAATAAGGTGGAAGAAATCCTATCCAAATTTGTTTGGTTGAAGTTTCCAAACAACCATATATTCCTGTCTTACAGACCCAGCTTAAGAAGCTGTATAAACGGAAGGTGCTTTTCAGCTGATCACACTCTAGCACTCTCCCTGATGGGCAATGGGGTATAAGATGTGAAGGCACTGGGCAGTTAGGGAAACCTGAGTTTAAGCAGAGTTTCTGTTTTTAGACTCCCCTTGGACATGAAGAGCTAATGACTCAGCTATGTCTTGCTCTTTTAATAAAAAGTGAAAAATTACACATACCTGTTAGAAACCAGATCATAAGGTTGATAATACTGTCTAAAGAAGATGGATACTCTTAAAAATCTTCAGGGAACCTACAGTATAGAGTCAGGCTCAATGTTTGTTATGATCACTTGCTAATCAAGCAACTGTTGCAGAAGGCTTTGACTTAGACCTGGGCTATTCTCTAGTCTATAAAATGACCATTTATTGTAGAGAGTGGTCAGACACCTAACATGTCATTTCTCCCAGAATCAATCCACAGAAAATACAGACAAGATGGGGCAGAGAGGAACCTTCTACCTAAAACACTCCAACTTTGTCCATCTAAGGCATTCACTGTACCACATTTGAAAATGAGTGCTATACTACACAGATAGATAATAAACTGGTATGAATAAAATATCACTTGTGCAAAATTCTAGGAACTCACAAGCTGAAAATGAGCCAGGGGCATTGAGCTTACCTCTTATCACTTATTTGTATTCTAGTCCAGTACAGAGGTTTCATGGGACAGCTGGGCTCAATGGCTGGCTTCCGAGGACATTGGCTAGAAGAAGGGCTGACGCCGAAGAAGAGGCCAGGAGGGGGTGGGGGCACAAGTCCTGGGGGTGTTGGAGCAGGAGGAGGCCCCCCACTGTTGGGCAGAGCAAATGAGTTAGGAAGTGGTGGTGGGGGAGGAGGAGGGGGAGGTCCAGCACTTGGAGGCAGAGGAGGTGGCGGAGGTGGTGGTGGCCCAGCACTCACAGGTGGTTGCGGAGGTGCTGGTGGCAAATGTCCAAGTCCAGGTGGGAGGGGAGGCGGGGGCGGAATGGCTGCTGGTAGGGGTGGTGCTGGAGGGAGAGGGGATGCATTCCCCTGACTTGATGAGATGCCTTCTACAGACTGAAGTGGAGCATGGATATCTTTGTTGTCATTTGTGGGAGAAAGTTGGCTTAAAGAGGAGATATTCAGCTTTTTGGGTATTATTTGGTTGCTTCTGGTTGTCTTGCCTTCACCTTCGCAGGGTTTGAGGAAAGTCTCTCTGTCCGTCTGGATGCACACGTTTCTGTAGGTCTTTGGAGGGCAGTCATCGTCGGTGGAGATACACACATCTTTCATCTCTCCACCTCCTCCTCCCCGTCGATGTTCTAGCTCATGCTTGAGATTATCAATGGTTTCTTCGAGTCTCGCTGTTATCACTGCATGCTCACCCCGGATATGAAAAGCCTGAAGTTCAAACTGAGCCTGTAGAGATATCAGTGGGGGAGAAAGTAAAGTATTTATCAAAACAAATAGAAATAAAAATTGGATACCATTCCCGTGCCACCAGAGTGTAGCTCGCACCAACGCAGGCAAATACAGACACGTTCTTTTGAGACTCCAACAAGGTATAAACTTCACTTTACGAATTTTCCAAGGACTAAACAGTTGGATAGAGGCAGAATTTCATCGAATATGAACTCATGGAGGATAATTACCATGGATTAAGGCTTATAGTAAAACTGTCATCTAAGAACTTTCACCTGGTTTTAATATCAAATGCAAGACAAACTTTTTAATAAATGTTTGAATATGCTTGAATATATCTTTTATTACTTTTGGATTTGGTTTGGAAAAACAAAATATTTTGAGAAAAAATTAGATTTGGAGATCCTTCTGGCTTGGAGCTACTGTTCTCGCAGACTTCCTTAGACTGTCTCCTTTATGGGGTTTCCCAGTCAATACAGCAGAAACAAAAGGTGGAAGGAGGAGCTATGATCTACATGTATTTTTTAAAAAATTTTAAGAGACTATTTATTTATCTTTAGAGGGGAAGGGAAGGAGAAAGAGAGGGAGAGAAATATCAATGTGTGGTTGCCTCTCATGTGTCCCCTGATGGGACCTGGCCTGCAACCCAGGCATGTGCCCTGACTGGGAATCGAACTGCGATCCTTCGATTCACAGGCCTCGCTCAATCCACTGAGCTACACCAACCAGGGCTATGTGTATTTTTAAAAAAAGTTTCCACACCAAAATTTCCATGGTATTTGTGTCTTTAACAACCATTCACTGATGTTTCTCTCCCTCTCTCCTTCCCCTCTAAAGATAAATAAATAAATAAAATCTTTTAAAAAATCACTATACTAACGATCATTCATAATATAGTAATAGTCAACCTAAATGCATACAAAATGAGAATATCAAGATGTGCTATTTTTCTCTCCTACGTATCCAGCACTTTAAACTCTATTTTATGACAGTCTTTTTAATACCTATATTTTCAGTGCCTCAAGTCTATGGTTTCACACTTATTGGCACAGCTAGCATGTGCCCAGTCATTATAGTCCATTTCCAGTCAGCCTATTGCAGTTAACTGGGAAGCAGTCAAATGTACAGTTTTATTAGAGTTCCCAAAATCCAATGAATAGTAATTAAATATTCCCAGTAAATTATTTAATTTCTACCTACCCCATCAGATTGTAAACTCCACAAGGTGAAGCGGGGCAGGGTCTGCCTTAACGTCTGTGTCCCAGAAGCCAGCACAGCAGGTACACAGTACTGAAGAGATGGATGGATAAATACCATCCACTGTAATAGTTATATATTCAGTCACTGCCCCAAGAACCTTCCTTATGGCTAACAAAGCTTTCTTTACTATAATCTCAGCCCACAGATATCTAGAACACCAACTGCAGATCAACTTTGCATTGAAAAGGTAAATAAATATTTTAACAGCCTAGTCAAGAAAGGCAAAGAAGACATAGAAAGATTTTCTACTTTCATTAATACACTTGTAATGATATTTTTCCTAGGCTTGCCTTTTTCTCTGTGAATCAACCCTCAGATAACCATGGTCAGTAGAATGAGAGACAAGGGTTTCATCAAGCTGACTTTCTGATATGTGGACATGGCAACCCCAATTCAACTTGGGAAGAATTAGCAAGTTCAGGGCACCATCTGTTCTCATGTAGCACAGATGTGTTCAGCACCTGAATTCTGGATTCATGCTACCTATTTCACATCCTGGCTTAGCTATTTGCTAGCGCAATAATCTTGGGCAGGAAATTTTGTGTTTTCAAGCCTAAGTTTCCTCAAGTATAAAGTGAGGATAATAGTGAACCACCTCTAGGGTTTTTATAAAGATAAAATGAGAGGCTTCCTACAAAGCAGTAGGCATTATGCCTGACACAGTAAATTCTGAATAAATGTCACTATCTGTTACTGTTGATTATGACAAGATTACAGTAAGAGACTAACAGATCTCTAATTCTTAAAAATGTCCAGATAATGCCTCCTTTGTTGGGTGATGGGCACAAAACTAGGAAACACAGAAGCAGTCAGGATAAACAATGTACCACAAATACAACTGGCCAATCTTTCATGAGTTCTTCTACCAAATGTCTGAAAGTAATTTCAAGCCTCACTCAACTATGTGATCAAGATAACCTTTTTTTCAACATCCTACCCATCTCCCTCCCCCACCCACCTCCACCCACATCCCAGCCCTGATTCCCACCCTCAATTACCTGCACCATTTCATTTTAGTGACTAGTTCCATTCTGCCACAGCTAACCAACTCTTTTTAAAAAATACTTTATTTTACTTTTGATCTTAGAGAGAGAAGAAGGGAGAGAAAAAGAGAGGGTGAGAAACATTGATGTGGAAGAGAACATTGATTAGTTGCCGTTTGTATGCAGGCTGGGGGACCAAACCTGCAACCCAGGCAAGTACCCAGACTGGGAATCCAACCGAGGATCTTTCTGTTCACAGGATGATGCCCAAACAATTGAGCCACACCGGCTGGGACCACAGCTAATTAACTCTTGGTTGTTATTCCCAATAACTTCCTCCAACAAGGTTAAGTATGGAATAATACTGATAAGCCAATAACTTTACTCCATCTTCAGCTTCTTAGTAATATGAAAAAGTTGTACAGACATGCTCCACAGAGAAACTTCCCCTTTATGTCAGAGCTGGCCCATAACTACATCAGGGGTCTGGCCCCCCCCTCTCCTGCCTTCCAAACAACCAACCATCTTCCGAACCCACTGAAGCTAAGGAGGCACCTGAACACCATTTTGGTGGCTCTGTAATGCATTTGCTTAGCATAGAGGGTAGTGCACAAATTGGGAACATTATTATAGCAATGTGTACCTCAATTTTTTTCATAAGTAAAATGGGAGTGATAGCAGAGTTCATATCACAAGGCAGTTATGAGAAGCAGGATGAGTTCATATGACTTTATGGAAAAAGTCCAGCCATTGTTGATATAATGAAAACAGTTTGCAGGACATCAATATTATGTAGCAGCTAAGGAGAGTGGACTGGAATGTGCGTGCATGAACAATGATAACTTCACTGTACTAGTCAGTGGAGTCGGTAGACACTGCTGAGTGAGCATGTGTACTGTTTGGCTGTCGCATTCAAAATGACTAAGTGAGTAGAGTGACAAATCTGCATCAAATTTTGTATTAAGCTTCAACATTCCTAGACATAAATTATTGAGATGATTCAGAAGGCCGCAGCTATGGTCAACTGGTGATTGGCAGCTTCATCACAACAAGAGCCTGCTCATGCATCATGTCCCCTGCAGTGTTTTGGTGAAACATTGAATCACCCAGGTGACTCAGCCCCCCTGTATCCCAGATTTGGTGCCCTTAGACTTCTGGCTTTTCCCAAAACTAAAATCACCTTTGAAAGGGAAGAGATTTCAGACCACTGATGTGATTCAGGAAAATATGACGAGGCAGCTGATCATGACTGGAAGAACTGTGTGAGGTCCCAAGGTACCTACTTTGAAGGGGACTGAGGTCTCACTGTCCTATGCACAATGTTTCTTGTATTTGTATCTTCTTCAATAAATGCTTCTATTTTTCATATTTCATGGCTGGATACCTTCTGGACAGACCTCATATGTAAAATGACATCTAGAGGGTGCTATATAAGCTTGCTATCATTATTATTATCTCTTTGCCATGGCACAGATCAGGGGCCAACTTGCTTTTGACTCTCAGCATGTTCCCCAGCATCATGTTCTACCCATTTAAAGCAAAAACAAAGATATCTACATCCTTCTTTAATCCCTTCTAGATGTCAGCCTTTCTTTCTCACCCTACCTCTTTTTCATCACAGTAGAGTTTTTTGGGGGGAAAAAGCACAGAACTCTTGCTTTATCTAGTTTTGTAGCCATCCTCCTTTCAACCAACTTCAGTTAGCTTCTGCCCCCATTGTCTTCCTGAAACAACACAATTTGGGTGTTACATTCAGTCAGCACTTCTCAGTGGTTTTCTAAAGGTGACTATTGCCCATGCCTTCAAATTCTCTCTGCTTCCCTAAACTTCTGATACACCCTCTCTATCCAGCCCCATTTTCCTTCTGCTTCTGGGCTCTCTTTGGTCAATCTGTGGGTCCTCTCCCTCCATTCATCCCTTACATGCTGTCCACCAGGCATCCTCTTGCCATTTCATCCCTTTCAAACCACAATTCTTCTGGGTCATCTTGTGTACTTATATGAAATGACACTATAAACTGTCACTTCGAAATTGTTACCTTCAAACTGTGATGCCGGCTCTCCTCTAGACTGGGCTACCTGCATATTTAAGCAGCCATCTCAGACCGATCACACCCGAAAACAAAGTCATCTTTGCCAAACCCCAGGTTGTGGCCCTGAAATCCCTTATTGCAGTTAATGGCACCATCATCCTTCCAATCATCACACCCAGAAGCTTGGACACCATGTTGAATCCCTTTTTTCTCTCTCATTCTCAACATGTTACTTATCAATGAGTGACATTAATTTCTCTGATTCATCCCTTTCCTTCCATACCCACTACTTCAGCTTTTCATGGAGTCCTCTTCACCTGGACAATGGCAAGAGCTATGTAATTAATTTATTTCTCCCATTCCAGTTTGCCCACATTGGTTCCAGAAAGACTTTTTTTTTTTTTTTAAAAAAAGGTCTTTATTCCTTAAAATCCTTTCAATAATTGGCCATCACTTACAGACTGACACTGAAAACCTTTTAGTAAGAACACACTGAAAGCTCTTCCAATTCATTTCCTGCCAACTTTCTCCAGTTTTGGCACCTGCCCCTTCCTCAGATATGTCCTGGACTCCAGTCTTACATTACATCTTGCCTTTCCTAGGACCATGCTCCTCTGTGCATCTGAGCCTTTGCAAATGGTGTCCTCTCTCAGCACCCCTCTGCCACGACCACCCAAGGTAGGGGGCAGATTACCATGCACAGATCCCATGAATGGCTTGGG